ACCGACCAGGTGGCAGGCTGCCCTCGCGCAAGTAGACAAAACACAACTTCACTCCGGTCTTGTGGTGGTGGTCGTCTCGCAACATTTTCTTCCTTCTCGTCGCAGTGCACATCCCCCTCCCACAAAGCATTTGTTCGAGCCATGTTCCTGCGGCCAAACATCGCGCTGCTGGATCCCGCGGCACAGTCCTCGGCACGGAAGTGAGGGGAGGAAGAGGGACCGCAGAAGGTGCGAGCAAATCCGAATTCGGTGGCGGTCGCTGCAGTGAAGATTGACGTCCCACGCGGTGTCCCTTTTCTAGGTCCGGCCCTCACCGTGCCATGCTCTCAGCGTGCGGTGCGCCGGCCGCTCCGAACATCCACACGTGCTTGCGTCTCACCGTCGCTCCCAGCCCCGTTCGTTGGCTGCATCAGGGATTTCGCCATCCAGAGACGGGCATAAAGACGTTGCATCCAACAAAACCTTCAGAGGCACCCGCTGGGCCAACGACGACCGTCACTGCGGGATGTGTGGCCCTTCCGCCACTCACCTCAAATCGCACTTCTACGCCTCCTCGAGCTGCAGCAGCAGCATAAATACACCGGTCCACTAGGGGCCGTCACCAGCCATTGCAGGAAGACCACTGTGCCCCAGTGCTATGAAACCCGAATTGCATTGACGGGCCACTTCGGAAAATCCTGTCGCATCCTCCCCAATTATGCGGAAACACATCCGTCGTGCATGTGTCCACCGCAGCCAAATGAATCCGGTCCAAATACCATCCAAATCAAATTCCCCTTTCCTCAAGCCATTCCTTCATTCCATACGCCCTGACCCTCATCCGCACGTGCCCACTCACACAAGCCGCCATAGACAGATGGAGGCCGCCCAACGCTCCGGAAAAACATGCCCAGCACGCACGCGCATAACAAATGACATGCGCAAACGCACGGCACAACGGCGGAGAAGCGCACACCGAAAGGATGCGGCCCTCCACAGCAGTCGCAGCCCACCGCGCGCATCACACCCGCAGGAAGAGTGACTCGCGGTGCGCGCTTCCTCTATCCTCTTTCCTTCCCTTCATTCCCACGGAGGAAGCAGCAGCCACCCGCAACCGCCAGCACACGCTACAAAAGAAGCCTCCAAATCGAATGAAATGTGCATTTTGTGCGTGCATGTGGTTGTGTGTTTGCCTGCAGACACACGAAGCAAAGAAGTAAAAACAGGAGCAGAGCATGTGAAGGGACGCACAAACAAAAATGTACAGCAGAGGTGCATGGCAGAAATAAAGAGAAAAAAGCTGCTCAGGCTCACAATATTGCACTGCAGCCCAAGCAGCGGCAATTCATTAAAAAATTAAATAAAAATAAAAAAATAAAAATTCATCTTCACCTTTCCACACCTCACACTTTGGAAAAAACAAAAAATGAAAATAATGAAAAAAAAAAAAAAAATGAAAAAAAGTAGTCCTCTACTACGGCTACACCCAAATAAAATAAAAAAAAAAGAAAAAGAAAAAACACACACAAAAAAGCACTCAACTACCATGCTGCTCCAGAAATTGTCTGCATATTTTGTCCGCAAAATAAAAATTAAAAAGATATTTAAATGCCTTTCAACCGTCTGACCCTCCATGTGTCCGCACATCGTTTATATTTCATGAGGTCATCTGCGTGTTGCTGCTCCCCTCAGCCCTCTCATAGGCGCGTGAGTGCGGCCCGCAGAGCACAGTCACTCGTGTGTGTGGGGACTGAGAGAAGCACGCAGACATGACGGCGGTCGCGTCACTCCATCGGGAGAGTGAGCGCAGCAAAAGAAAAAATCATGAGGGGGAAAAGAAATGCTCACAAGGCCGACAGCGAAGGGACTGCCGGCGCGAGAAATGCACACGCAAAGCAAAAAATCTTAAAAACACGGCGGCAGGGTGTGGCTGTGTGTGTGGCGCTGCGGGTGTCTGCCCGCCCTGGCCGCAAAGAAACAAAACAAGAGGGAAAGAAATGTGTGCTCCGCCCCACAGGCCCTCGTCGCACGCCCACACTTAACGGCTCCCTCAGCGCGCCGTTCGTCGCGGCCCCTCCTCATGCGTGCAGCAGGCGAGGCGCACAGGGCCGTCGTCATGAGCGTGTCGGTGGGTGTGCGAGTGGAGCAGTTGGGCGGGAAACACACGGCACCCCTCACAGGAAGAGTGCAGAAGAAAAAACAAATAAAGAGGGAAGAGTAAAAAAGAAAAAAAACGTCCACAGTGATTGCTCCCAAAAGCAAAAAAGGAGAATGTGTGGAGTGAAAGATTTAAAATGCACAAATTAATAACACAAAAAAAAACTAGCAAAAAATTTTAAAGCAAACAGAAAAAAAAAAAAAAATTACAAAAAAACGAAAAGCCGAAGCGTGGGGCGACCAGCGCACACACTCTCATTGCTCCCGTAAAGCAAAACACACACACACACAGAGAGAGAGAGAGAGGTCGCCCACTCAATGCAATAAAAACAGAAACAGTTACGGTGCTCCGCCCATGCAGCCAGGCAGGACGGCAGCGGTGCGTGTCGTGCAAAAGAGAGTACCAACGGGCATGCATGGGTGTGCATGCATATATACAATGGGCACATTATGTGTGTGCCTCGTGGGATGAGGTGAGGGCGAGAGTCCATGCAAGGAGACACACACAGAGAGTGAAGGACGAGTGTGTGTGTGCGGGCGGTGCACGGCTCTCCCTCCCTCACTCTCACGCGGCCACCACCGCAGCCGCAGCCGCACACGCAACAAGAAGAAGCAAAAGAGGGAAGGTGGTGTGGAAGACCGCGGTGCTGCCGTCACTGTCGCCAGTCGTCGCCGTTGTGGTTTTCATTACGGTGGATTCGACTGGTGTTTCCTTCGGATTGGCTTCTTTATTTTCATTTTGTTTTTCTTCTTGCGTCCCTGCACCATCAGCTGCTGGATCTTTGTCGCCAGTTGTTTGAGTGCTTTGGGGTTTTGTTTTATTCGATGCTTCCTCCACACCAGAAGATAAAATTGGCTCTTCCTGACCGCCTTCTGAAATCCCCTTTGTAGTGCTGGTATCATCTTTTTCTTCTTGCTTTTTCTCCTCTCCTCCATCCTCCTCTTCATTGCCATCATCCTCCTCTTCCTCTTCCTCTTCCATTTCTCCCTCTTCCTCTTCATCCTCCTCTTCATCCTCCTCTTCCTCTTTCTTTTCCTCTTCATCATCATCTTCAACAGTATCATGATTCGTCTTCCCATTTTCCCCTGTTTTCGTTGTGTCATTGTTGTTTTCCGTCGCTGCATTGGCCGTTCCTAATGCTTGTGCTCCGGTTTGTTGTGCCTATTCCGCTTCCGCTCCCCGTGCGTTTTGCACCGATGATGGTGCTGCTGCTTGTGACGGTGCCTGTTGACCGGTTTGGTCAACTGCTCCAACGCCACCAACGGTGGTGTTGTTTTTACCTTCAGGATTATTGCCGTCACCAGACACACCAGTAACCGGAGAAGCTGGAGCTGCTTCAGAACATCTACCACCGCAGACACCGCAACACAGCACGCAGAGGGCAAATAGCAACAGCAGGCGGCCAGTCATCATCATCATCACGGCTGCACACACAGTCTAGAAAGGGACAAAGAGAGGAGGATGAGAAGAACACACAGACGCATCAGCAGCAGCAGCATGGAGAAGGAGTGGTGATTACATGAGGGCTGTTGTCATGACCATGGGAGACGCGTGCACGCAGGAATAACAAGCAACAATAAAACACCGGACAGCACGGCGCACAACTCCATGGCACTTGAAACCCTCCCGCAGCTGCCCCTAATGGAAAGGAAAGAGGACGCCACGGTGCGGCAGGAACACAGAGATGACGGCGCAGAAAAGGATCCCAAACCGGCGTGAAAAAAAAGCAAAAAAAAATGTCTTCCCCCACAGCGGCCACATCCAACACGCAAACAATAAGAATAATAATAATAAACACCACGCACGGCAACTCACAGGGCAGTGAGTTCCCTGTCGCCAACCTTCATGGCTGCTCGCCCCCGAATTCCTCGGGAGTCCATCGCTCCGCCGCCTTCCTCCTTCCCGCGGCACCATCGCACGAACAGCCTCGGCACAAAATCGGGTCCATCCGCACCCGTCGCCACGCCACCCTCAACGACCCAACAGGCAACCGCCCAACGACTGTTGCTGAAATCACACACCCGCGCCGAAGCACGCGACGCAACATCATGTCACGCGGACCCCTCCGTCGGCGGCACTTCACGCCAACCGTTTGGCCGGCACACGGAACAGTCAATTGACATAACAGAGAAGTAAGGCAGGTACTCAATCAAGGAATCTCCACACACACACGCACACACGCACACACGGCTCTTTTGATGCCAATGCAGCTGCCACGGGCACGGTATCCGAGCGGAAAATGATAAGCAGTAAAAAAAGCCTCACAAAATGAAACCAATCCACACGTCCATATGCAAAGCGCCACTCAAGCTGGTACGGCTGCAGGGTCCGTGGACAAAAATGCGCCTTACCAAATCCCGCCAACTATGTCAGTCTCCCCTCCCACCAATGCCACGCATAATGCACGGTGTGCGTCCACAGGCATCCACTCCCGGTGCCCTAGAAACACTTCAGAAACGAACGCAACAGGAGTAATACAACGAGCACCACACTATGCCACCGCAAAAGCAAGCACACCACAGGACAGCAACACGCCATGCAGCAATGTTTTGCTATTCCACACAATTCATTTACCGCACACTCCAAAACACACATAACGGGAGAAGCGAAGCATCATTACACAATGCCGAAGCAAATAAATAAAAATAAAAAATCAAAACCACACAGATCCCTCGCACACGCACACGCACCCAAAGTATTCTCCAGAAAAAGTCGAACAAATTGTTATCCCAAAACCCATTAAAAACACGCGTGGTGTCACCACATTAGCAACCAACACAAAAGAGAAAGAGTGTATACAACAGTTCACCGGTAAAAATCATACAGGCAAGCAGAGCACATAAATGTATGTGCTGAGAGGAAAATGCCAATTGATATGGGCCTTTCTCCCTTGCAACCACTGCTGAGTGCGGACCACGCAGGACTCAACCGCATTCGCCTCGTCGTGCCGAGGCATCCATGCAGCCACTCAATAGAGTGTTGGCACGGCGGCGGCAGCGGCAAGAAGAAGAAGCAGTGGAAAGGGAAAAGCAGCAGCAGTGTTATTGCCGTGGATCGAAGGCGAGGCGTACTTCATGTCTTCCTCCCAATCCCCGCGCCCCACCGCCGCATCATCCTCCCTCGGCGGAGGGTCCACGGCGCCCTGCGCGTCATCAGCGGCATCAGGAATCCTGAGTCCCGTGGCTGCGGCGCCGCCACCGGCCTTGTTGCTCACGGCCTCATCTCCTGTTGGATTGTCCCACAAAAGACGTCACACCATCGGCGGCCACATCTTCGTTGTCCGGAAGATCGCTCTTCTTCTCCGCCTCCTGCGGCGCACCCGCGGTGTCGCTGGGCAAGAGCACTCCGTTGCCGTCGTGGCACCTGGGGCGACTTCCTTCTCCTCTGGCGACGGATGTTTCTGAGGAGCAGCTAAGTCGACATCCTTCGGTGGGGTGCCGCGGTCGGTCTCAATGCTCCCCGCAACGGGGACGGACGCCCCTGGCAATCCTTGTTCAGCGGATGCCGGTGAAACCGTCCTGCTCCACACGCCCTCTCCTCGCCGTCCCACGGAACCACTGGAATTAGACTACCGCTGGTGGCAGATATCGTGCACAACTCCGCGTGGTCACGGCAAATAACGTTTCCCCCATCGTAGGGTGGAGTGACCCACGCAATCGTCGCCCCGTCCGTGCACGGGACACAACGGACGTTACCCTTTTCAGCCACTTCCAGATGCACCTTCATGCTGAGGCACCTCAATGCCGCATGCGCTGCAGCACTGAGATGCGTCTCCTTCGGGTTCCTCGCATCCGTCGTGTTGTTGGGAAGCGTGTCCAGTCACCACGAAGAGGGCTCATCCCCAGGCACCGCAGACAAATATTCTCCCCTCCCAAATAACACCCTCAATATCCCTCACATCCAGTGCGGGATCAATGATGGGGCAACGGCCCATCGAGTGTTTTGCTGACATTTCATGGATACTCCCCAAATACCAACCGCGGGAATACCGGTCCGACGCGCAGCGTTTGACAGGGACACCCACGTCGCAGACCATGTAGCAATATTCACTCATGTTCGGTGCGGAGCGCTTCCTCTGCAGCAGCAGCAGCCTACATCCCGACTTGCTGCAGCAACGCGTCGGCTCCGCCATCTACCAGTTCACCCTCAAGCAGCCAAGGTCGGCCGATGCGGCCAGCGTCAGCTCCGTGCAGTAGCCGGCGCCCCCAATCGGTGCCATCCGCTCATCCCTCGCGTGGCGCTGCGATAAGTGCGACTCCAGCGTCCTCCCGTCCCCATCGTCATCCTGCAGCTCCACGCCATCAATGTCGTCGCAGTCTTGGTGCTCCCTTGCAGACATCGCGGCATTCGTCGAGTGCACCACCACCGACAGCGCCCCGCCACCCACACCAATAGCATTCCTCACCATGCTCCGGCTTGCCATGCGCGGGTGGGTGAACCGACAGCATGGGCCATCAGGTGCGCGGCGATGCGGGTGGCGATGCGTCCGCAAAATAAAACGCCGGGAAAAGTACATGGCGCCAGTGACTGGACGGCCATCCTCCAGCGTGGCGCACGGCAGTGCCCACACACCACCCAGCGCAGCAGCCACGTACACCGCCATGACAGCATTGGCAATACCAGTGGAACGATGCCCAGCAGTCAACGTGAGCCGACTGCAAACGCTGCCCGTGGCAAATGGGGGCACAATCAACGGACCCTCCAGTGGCCGGACGAGCAGAAGATCCGCATGCAGTTACACAGCAGCAGGGATAGCCTCCTCGTCAAGGATGTTGACGTGCGCAAAGAATAGAACACTATCCTCACAGTCAAACGCGCCGTCCAAAGAATTTACTGTGCAACGCCAAAAGGAGCCGCAGTGCCCCCCTGCTGTCATCCAAGTCCCTTGTTGACAAATTGATGCGGACTGCCACTCGTCGGTCCTTCCCAAAGCCGCTGTCCACCCGCGACGCATCCTGCGCTCTGAGAGGCATGTCCCTCACCATCAGGAGAATCAACCACGCGCCGTCGGACGTATCGCGACGTCAAAAGAAAAAGGATACGTCAAGGTAAAACAAAAGTACCAACTGGCAAATCATACCACAAACATTATCACAACCAGAAGAGGCAGTGCTGCTGGCCGCGGGGAACGTGGATAAAATGGCGCATGGCACACGCGGAAAGAAACACTGAGTGGCTTGGCAAGATTACGAGGGGCTGACGCCTTCCTCAGCAACAAGAAAAACAATATGGGAATGACAAAAGAGGATTAAAGTGATCGCAGTCAAAACATGCAGCCGATCAAAAGAGCGGGGTGTATGTGCTCAACCACAACAAAAGTAAAACAATAAAAAACAAAACGCAGCGTGGGACGACCAGCGCACACACTCTCATTGCCCCCGTAAAGCAAAACACACACACAGGGAGAGAGAGAGAGAGGTCGCCCACTCAATGCAATGGAAACAAAACAGAAACAGTTACGGTGCTCCGCCCATGCAGCCAGGCAGGACGGCAGCGGTGCGTGTGGTGCAAAAGAGAGCACCAACGGGCCTGCATGGGTGTGCATGCATATATACAATGGGCACATTATGTGCGTGCTTCGTGGGGTGAGGTGAGGGCGAGAGTCCATGCAAGGGGACACACACAGTGAGAAGGACGAGTGTGTGTGCGGGCGGTGCACGGCACTCTCTCCCTCACTCTCACGCGGCCACCACCGCAGCAGCAGCCGCACACGCAACAACAAAAAGAAGCGAAAGAGGGGAGGTGGTGTGGGAGACCGCGGTGCTGCCGTCGCTGTCGCCTTTCTTCGCCGTGTCATCTATTTTGGCGTTTGTGGTTGGCGCTGTTGTGGATCCCGCAGTCTGAGAGAATGTATCGTATTTGTTGGTTGATGCGGCCTCACCATCGGAAGTCTTTCCGGGTTGTGTGGCGCCTTCAGTGGAGGGTTGGCTCGGATGATTGGTGGGCGGAGTTTCTTCTGTGCCAATGTCAGGCCGCACAGCTGCAGTTGCCGCGGCGCTGCCGCTGTCGCTTTTCGTTGTTGTCTCACTCATTTCTTCAACTGTCGTGACTGACAATCGTGAACCTTCTTCTTCACCCGTTGAAGCGACAGCTTTTTCGCCGGTGTCATTGTTCTGTCCAATGTCTCCTACCACAGACTGTTGAGAATTCTTCTTGCCAATGTCGTTTTCGTGACTTTTTGTGTCAACACGGCCAGCTGCAGATGTGGATGATGGAATTGCATGCGGTGAGCTGTTCGGTAATGGAGGCAGCAGAGAACTCGACAAATCTTGTTGTTCTTCACGAACTGGCAAAATTTCTCTTGATGATTTTATTGTTTCAGCTCCATGAACTCCATTCAATGATGTTGGCTGCAAGGTTTCATTGTTATTCAACTGCTGGCCCTCCGCAGAAGTCAGTTTGTCTTCAGGCTTTTTTAGCTCAACACTTTTCCCATCCAATTCCCTTTCTTTTCCAGCTTCTTTAGCATCATCTTTTCTTTTGCCTTTCCTACCTTATTACCGCCTTTGGTTCCTAACAGAGTTTCTTCACGAGGTGGGGACGGATCTTGTCCTTGTTGAACATCTCGTACTGGGGTTTCTGAGTCTGGTTTGTGTGATTCTGGCGTTTTAAAGCCTGATGAACCCTGTGAATGTCCTCTGTCCCCCTCAATTTCACCGGACACATCAGACTGAGAAACTAAGAGTACTTCTTGACATCTGCCGCCGGCACCGCACCACAGCACGCAGAGGGCAAACACCAGCAGCACACGGCCAGTCATCATCATCGCCATCACTCCTGTCACTTGCGTGCAGCCTTCAGCACAAACTAACTCCCCGCCAACGCAGAGCAAAAAGCAAAAGGGAAGAGACAAGTCACACAACCCCGCACAGTAACAAATGGCATCAGCTGCAACAAACACACCATGATGCAGTTGGAATCAGCGAAAGGGCAAAATAGGCACACAAACACAGTCCTGCAGTAATTAATCAGCAAGAAAAAAAGAAAAACAAAACAATTAAAAACAAAAGTAAAAAAGAAACAAAAAAATTGAATAAAAGGGGCTGCACAGTATGGCGCCAGTTTGCATGCATCCACACGCAAACATGCGTCCACGCAAACAGTTGTATGCGTGTAGTACATATGAGTGTGTCTGGGATGCGTTCCAAGTGACGGATACAGGGAGCCACAACATGGAGCACACAGCAGGGCAGCGGAAGCAAAACACACAATCATTATTTTCTCTTATTTATTTACATCGGACCACAGTGGACGCGCACAAATCCCCGTGGTTGAGTGCTGGCACGCACAGCCCGCACACACCTCCTCAGCCCAGAGTGGTGTACGCCAGCGCGGATACGGCGAGCAGCAGCGGGGCACACACCCACGCAAAGCTGCTGAGGCTGCCGTCAATTTCGCGAAGACGTGACGGTGCGCGGGTGGTCGTCGTGGTTGGCGCCTCTGTAGTCGTAGTACTTGGTGCCTTTGTGGTTGTGGTCGTCGTGGTCGTTGATGCAGTCGTCTTCTTTTGTTCTTCTTTTTCGGGTACAATCAGCCCACTTTGTTCCCCTGACGCAGCAGTTGGTACAGTAGGTGGCTGTAGCGGAACTCCAGGAGTTTCTAACGTGGACTGACCGGACACACCTGAAGCACCTTGACTGTTGGACGACCCACCGGATACCATACCTTGTGTGTTTTCCATACCGGCCGAAATAACTGGCTTCTCTACTCTTTCGATTTGTTACACATCCTTCTCAACTGGTTCCTGTACCTCTGGTACCTTTGGCACAGCGGGGACCGCACTGGGGTCATCATTAATTTCACTTACTGCCACGCACACGGAAGGGCAGCAGCACAGGGCGAGCACCAACAGGGCGCACAGCAGACGGCACGTCATCATCGTGAGTGTGGTCGTTCAGTGGTGTGGAGCTGATCTGCACAGTGAGGGACATGGAGAGCAACAGGGGAGACGAGAGGTGCGGCAGACACACACAGAGGGCACACCACATGAGGAAAGGGCAGCAGCCAGGCATGCACCGTACGCCGCACACCACGCACGACACACACTCCAATCCACGGCAGCAGGCACACACACACACACAGCCCTGCCGCAACACCAACACACAGATGGAGGAGGGAGAAACAAACAGGAGCGGCACACAAGGCTCCACCGCATGCACATACGGCGAGAGCGGTCCGTCGTGTCGGCACCCCTCACGAAGGGTACGCACACACACAGGAGGAGGTGCAGCGCACACAGCAACAAAAAAGCAAAGTAACAATAAAAAGGAGGGATCCCCGCACACCACGTGGATTGTTGGTCCACGGGAAGTGCAGCCAATATTCATCACAAAAACAATTCATTTGCCTTCGGCCTTCGTTCATATTCAGCGCACACAACTACATGCTGGCCTGGGAACCACCGCAGCAGCAGCAAACGCAAAATAAGCGCAAGAAATGGAATAATGCAAGCAATCATTTATTTGCGTTTCTGTTTGGATGTTGGCAGATGTCTGCATGCGTTTTTTTTTCGTTTTTTCAGAGGGCAAACCTTCATGCCTGCAGCGTGTGTTGGGGATTTCTGCAGGGTGCACAATTATTATGTTTTCTCCTCTTGTGAATGTTGCTTGCGTTGGTGCAGCCAATAATTCGGTTTGTATTGTTCCTGCCTTTCGCTGGTAAAGTGTTGCAGTAGATGTTTGTTTTTCCTTTCGTTGCTGTGGCTCCTGATTCCTCACCGTTTATTGCGGTGGAAATGAAAATATGTGAGTGGACTCCCACACACCAGAACGCACCTTCGCTCCTATTTATTGGTGCATGGAAGGGTATGTGTGTTTGGTGGTGTCTCGTCCATATATTTTGTGGGTGCACATTCCCCTGCAGGCTGAGGGCGGGATGACGCTCCGTCGCGGTGCACTTCCCTCGCATGCCGCCCACTGTGATTCAGCATGCACCACCCTCTCACATACTCCGTGGTGCCACACCGCTGATATTACTGCAGCCGCTGTGATTCCGCGTACTTCACGCATTCGATTGTGCCACAATACATCCGCTGGTGTGGCCGCCGCATCCAAACAGCGGTGCCCAACACCGTGAGCGGCAGTCCAAATCCTTGCATGTCCCAACGCAGTGGTGTTTGACTGTCAGCCAGGCGTCAGACAACAAGAGAGTCTTGTGCTGGCAGTACAACACACGGAGCTGCAGTGAATGACTCGGGCGGCGACGCATCTATTCGTCGCAATGCAGTGAAAAGGAGTCGGGCAAAATAATGCCGGCTGCATTCACGACACCATATCCACAGCCAAAGCATGCGAAGAGATGTGTGTTTCACTGGTGCTGTGAAATGCCTGCAGACGACGTCACTAGTGGAGGCATGCCACCCATGATCAGCGGACAGACAATAATCGGCATGGGAGGCTACAAGAGGCAGCAACGACGCCAGCAGCAGCAGCTCTCTCTCTCTCTCTCTGTTGCCTCCGAGAAGTAAATATTCCACCAGCCACAGCTGACTGTGCCATCGTGACACTCCATGCACGTCGTGGCTGCGTCAACACATCCTGCTCCCTGCAGCGCCTCAAAAGATGCCTCACTCCGTCCACTAAGTGCATCGGTGTGGGCCGTGCCTCGGCTGCTCGTGAGGACCACAACGATGTGAGGGTCACCGAGTCGCAGCATGTTTGTTGTGACGTTGTTGCATGGCACCTGCACACACACACGCAGCGCCTGCATCCCTCCCTTTTGTGTCCGCCCTCTGCCGGAGTGGCCACACACACGGGCAGCAGCAAAATCACTTCACCCTCGACGATCCAAAATCAACACCGACATCCCTCGCGACGCAAACATCTCAGTTGCCAGCACGGGCTTCCTGTCGCTCTGCCATCGACGCTGAAACACGGCACAGTGCACGCACCTATTTTCCTCGTGTGCAGTCAGCCGTTTGCTTCACACATTCTTCGATGGGCTGACGTCCACAAAAGCACGCCACAAAAGGCCACGGTGATCGCACACGCTCTTGCGATGAGCGTCGGTGTGTGCATGGATCCGCTGCTCACACGTGCTGGCAGGCAGCCTGCAGCCGGTGCCCTCGTGCCAGTTCATCGGCTCCAGCACGGAAAAGAGAAAACGGCCTATTCCCGATGCACTTATTCCCACCAGCAGCACCAACACGCTGGTCGCCAGCCGTCATTCCTCAGCACATCCAGGAATGCTGAGAAGTGACGTGGAACTGTCAGCCAGCAACGCCGCAATCCCCGCACACATGTCGGCTCCACCAGACAAGACACACAAATCACAAACAACACCCTTCACACGTCATCCGAACATCATTCCGACACACCGCGACACGCCAAACAGAAGTATTCGTCACTCCAATGCACCTCCCCACACAATCACATAGTCCATGCACCACGCACGGCAGCAGCCCACACGTGGTCAAACAAATGTTCTTCGGATCAGTGTTATCCACATGCTGCAGTGGGAAGTAAACAAAAGAGACGAGCCGCCAAACCCCAAAAGAGTGCCACGACTGGCCGCAAGTCAACGGAACGCAGCCACTCAAATCAATTCAGTCCTAATGCCGTCAACCTCCCACCCTCCCCACAAAAGACCCAATAACCGCAAATCAAATACCCTCTCCATTAAACTTGCTGTAAAACACCAGATAAAGCCGCAGTGCCTTATGCTGTAATCCGGGGTCGTTGTCGCCTTCACGGAGACAGGCGCACATCTGTTATTCACAACGACGCTGAACACCTGCAATGGCCTCTTCAAAACGCAATTTTCCTACCGAATCAGAAAACGCCAATGCACCATCGGCCCGTACCAAAATTTAAAAAACAGCAAAATTCCTCACACAAAAACAAAAGTAGACCGCACCACTCTGCCATCGGCCGCGGCTGGGCACAGGAGCCGGTGCGTCCCAGCACACCATGCAGTCCTTTCTGGTCGGCTGCGTCCACGGTGTGTTTTGCACCACGGTGTCGAGGTGATTGCGCCGTGTCCGGCCCCCACTCACCTCCACAGCCTGGAAGTGCGACATCGCTCGGCCAACGAGCATCAGCGAAGGATACTTCTGTCCGCCTGTAAGCCAATTCAACAGCGCTGCGGAGGATCATTGAGTTCCGCGCACCCACACAACACGAACGGCTCCCACTTCTCCGACATATTGAGGACGTGCGTGGCGTGATCTGCTTGGAAACCACAGTTTAGCCAATACTTGGGAACGCAGCAACGAGTATTCCGCTGCCGGGCGATGCCGTCCTCAAGGAACCGCGACGCTTCTGCGGCCACATGGGGATCTCCCAGACAACATCCGCCCCTCATGCTGAGCAGCGAATTCTTGCCCGGGACGCCGTGAGCCGCAACGAGGTGGGCACCCTCCAGCCACGGCACGCCCAGACGCCCTGGACGGTGTCAGACGATCGGCCTTGAAGCGGCCTGCGCCTCTCTGGGGTCGTATGACGCAGACCGCTGGACGGACGGCTCGTCTTCTCTCGCTGAGCGTGCGTCTGGATCCGCTGCGCTGCCACTTGACTCCCCGGACAGCCGAGCCGCCTGTGGGGCCTCACCGCGCAGCTGCTGGCAGCCTTGCATGCTCCTGCCGAGCGGAGTGTCCTGTCACTGAGCATGGCCTCAGACAGTTTTCCCAGTTCCCCGTCTGGCAGCAGCATCCCAATCGCCCACACGAGTTCCTGCCGCCACAGACTCCCTCTCGACGATGGAGGTGCTCCGCCTTTTCCCGCTGGCGGTGCACAACGACGTCACCGAGAGGAGTTCCACCGTGCCGCTTTCACTGGCGGATCGAGGTCGCGCTGTTGGCTCCACATTTTCCTCATGACACTGCGGAATCCCACGCAACGTGACAGCGGACGCTGACGCCGTCATGGCACGATCCCTCCCGCAGGACTGCGTCAATGCCTGGCACGTGGAATCCCTCACTGCAGTCAGGCGGCGGAACCGGAAGGATGCCCAGGAGTAAAAGGAAGGCGCACACACCGCGTGAAAGGCGCTTGTCGGTGTGGCAAGGGCTGTGTTCCTGGTGTCAACCCGGACGTCGTGCCCTGAGTGGCGGCACCGCGCGCAGGCGCGATGCGACACCTGCCCACTCTTCGACACGCCCGCACGCGCCCTGCAGATCACAAGTAACTCCCTGTGTCGGTGGCGCCGTCCTTTCTTCACTGAGGAGGTCGGCCCGCCACTGCCTCCGTCGTCGCCTCTTCCCGACGTAAGCGCCGCAACCCCTTTCCGACAAGCGAGCGGCGGATTGACGTCCTCCTTCCCAATCTGCGGCAGAGCGCGCTCGTCCATCCACAATATGAGGGCACATGCCCGACGTGCTCGGCCTGGCGTTCCGATAGTTTGACAGGCCTCAACTTTGCATGCCGCAATGGCGCCGCCGTCTTCTTAGCAGGCGCCTCGCTCACAGGTCGCCAACAAAGATCCAAGCATGCCAGCAGACAAGCCACGCAGGAAGCACAAACGCGGGTACTCGAGATGGACCAGGCCCTTCCGCCACCGCCTTATCACAGACGCCACGTGTTGCTGATCCCCGACGGACCACGGGAGATTCCGCTTCATCCACTGCGGGAATGCCCCGTCGTTGAGAATATGGACTGTGGCTGTTTGGGACTGCCTCAGCCCGCACGACAGCCTGTTTGCGACGGAATACTTGCCACTTTATTGCTGACGGCCCTTGCGCTACTCACTCATTCCGGCGCGACAAAAAAAATATAAAAAGTTATTTTGTGATAAATATTGGCTGCACTTCCCGTGGACCAACAGTTCACGTGGTGTGCGGGGATCCCTCCTTTTTATTGTTACTTTGCTTTTGTGTTGCTGTGTGCGCTGCACCTCTTCTTGTGTGTGTGCGTACCCTTCGTGAGGGGTGCCGACACGACGGACCGCTCTCGCCGTATGTGCATGCGGTGGAGCCTTGTGTGCCGCTCCTGTTTGCTTCTCCCTCTTCCATCTGTGTGTTGGTGTTGCGGCAGGGCTGTGTGTGTGTGTGTGCCTGCTGCCGTGGATTGGAGTGTGTGTCGTGCGTGGTGTGCGGCGTACGGTGCATGCCTGGCTGCTGCCCTCTCCTCATGTGGTGTGCCCTCTGTGTGTGTCTGCCGCACCTCTCGTCTCCCCTGTTGCTCTCCATGTCTTCCACTGTGCAGATCAGCTCCACACCACTGAACGACCACACTCACGATGATGACGTGCCGTCTGCTGTGCGCCCTGTTGGTGCTCGCCCTGTGCTGCTGCCCGTCCGTGTGCGCGGCAGAGACTGCTGGAGTCAAACCTGCTGACTCGGTTTTGTCGTCTTTACAGTCGCAAGAGGCAGGTCTGAGGACCGATCCTTCAAATTTAAATACCCATAAGGAATCGGATCTGGATACTCCCGGTGCGCCAAATACACCAGTTAATGCCGTTGCGGGAGTGAAATCAGACGTGTTGTCCACTACGCAAGAGGAAGATAGTGAGCCTGGTGATCCAGGGCCAGACGGTGCGGATGCTGATTCGCCAGTTTCGAGGGATAAACCCAATAAGACGGTAGGAATAGTTACGGAGCATGATACAGAAAAGTCCAAAACTGATAAAGAGGTCGAGCTGCGGACACAAACCACGACAACCACTACCACCACCAAGGCACCGTCCACCACCACTACGACAACGACTACAGAGGCACTAAGTACTACGACTACGGAGGCGCCAACCACGACGACCACCCGCGCACCGTCACGTCTGCGTGAAATCGACGGCAGCCTCAGCAGCTCTGCGTGGGTGTTTGCCCCGCTGCTGCTTGCCGTATCCGCGCTGGCGTACACCACTCTGTGCTGAGGAGGTGTATGCGGGCTGTGCGTGCCAGCACTCCACCGCGTGGATTTGTGCGTCTACTGTGGTCCGATGTAAATAAATAAGAGAAAATAATGATTGTGTTTTGCTTTATTTGCTTCCGCTGCCCTGCTGTGTGGTCCATGTTGTGGCTCCCTCTATCCGTCACTGGAACGCATCCCAGACACACTCATATGCACGACACGCATACAACTGTTTGTGTAGATGCATTTTTGTGCTGGTGCATGCGCACTGGTGCCATTTGGGTGCATTTTTTGTTCTGTGTGTTTTACTTTTTTTCTTATTGCCGTTTTTTTGCTTTTGTGTTGTTTTTCTTTGCTTTTTTGTTTTTCTTGTTAAATTATTACGGGGCGTTGTGCGTTTTTTGACCTTTATTGGTTTAATATTTCTCATGAAATGCGTGCTGCTGCTGCTGATGTTTTTTACTGTGCCGTGACTTTCTTTTTGCCTTCACTCTGCGTTGACGGGGAGTTAGTTTGTGCTGAAGGCTACACGCAAGTGACAGGAGTGATGGCGATGATGATGACTGGCCGTGTGCTGCTGGTGTGTGCCCTCTGTGTGCTGTGGTGCGGTGTATTTGGAATTGTGGCCGACGGTGCCTGCGGTGGGGATGCCGATGGCAGTGCGGTTGAGTATTCGCTCTCGCGGTGGCGCGCTCAGCTGCGGAGTGAATGCGCGGAGGAGGTCGGCAGGAGGACAGGAGGCGGTGCGAATGCGTCCGCCGTGGAGGAATGCCTCCGTCAGGGGACGGACGGTGTGCGTGCCGTTGTGGATGGCCGTAGCCGTTGGAGGCGTCAACAGTTTGCCGTGGCTGCTGCTGCTGATGGTGATTCTGGTGGGAATGTTAAGGAAGAAAAAACAAAAACATTATCCAAAGAATTACATCAACAGCCGCAAGACTCGAATGTTGCGGCTCCAGGAATGAATGAATCACCGGGAAGGGCACACGAACCATCATCCATTGGAGAAGGCGGAGCAGGATCAGAGGAATCACAATCGTCGTTGCCTGAAGTGCCTCATGAAATGCAAAATAGTCTTTTGGAATCACAAAAAGTATTGGGAGGAGTTGGACGAAAGGCGGAGTCAACCGTAAATGGTCCAACTGGCCACGAGTCAGCTGCTGATGGCTCCGGTCACATTGAATCACCCGAAATTGGAGTCACTGGCGATCCGGAAAAGGAATCCTCTCAGAAGGGAAGTCCCAAAATTACTGCGTCATCGCAGGGTGCAGGGACAGGGGAAGCACCCCAACCCCCAACACGGGCTGGCGGTGGAACGCAAAAAGATCCAGGAATAAAAAATCCAGAAACAGCAGAAACACCGGGAGAACAAATAACACAAACAGCAGAGCAGGGAACACCGCAAGGGGGGCAAGTGCCCAAAGTCCAACAAATTGTGTCAGAGCCAGCAAATAAACAGAGCAAGGTCGAGCAAGAAGTGGATTCAATTACAACTCCTGTGAATGCACCGGGTGTAACACCACAACAAGAAAAGGAAGAAGACGCCGAAAATGAGGGAACAGCCGATGAAGATGAAGCGGAAGAAGAAATTGAAACACAAGAAGACATCGCATGGCGACCACTCACTCCCATTCGGAAGAAATCATCGCATTCAATATCTTCTTTACATGGCAGTGCTGCTTCTTTCAGTCAGGAAGAAAAACCCACCACGCAAGTCATTTCCGAAAACCTTCCAATTTCTGAAACTGTATTGGAGGAAGGTGGCCGCCAACATGGTGACACGGCAACCCCCCACAACGTCAACAGCAGTAACGCACCTTCTTCAGTTACCGAGCCTGACACCGCCACAACCACCAAGACCATGATAGCCACTCATAATGCGAGTAATCTTAACTGGGATGGCGTCAAGCCATTCACGGAAGAAAAGGAGAAGAGGGATGAGACACCCAACCTTAACAGCGCATCAGAAGGCACAAAAAACACACCAGCCAACAGTGAAGTGCCCACAACAGCAACAGAGCACGCCAAAGATATAACAAACACAACACCACCTGCCGACAGTGACGGCAGCACCGCGGTCTCCCACACCACCTCCCCTCTTTTGCTTCTTGTTGTTGTTGCGTGTGCGGCTGCTGCTGCGGTGGTGGCCGCGTGAGAGTGAGGGAGAGAGAGCCGTGCACCGCCCGCACACACACTCGTCCTTCACTCACTCTCTGTGTGTCCCCTTGCATGGACTCTTGCCCTCACCTCATCCCACGAAGCACACACATAATGTGCCCATTGTATATATTGCATGCACACCCATGCAGGCCCGTTGGTGCTCTCTTTTGCACGACACGCACCGCTGCCGTCCTGCCTGGCTGCATGGGCGGAGCACCGTAACTGTTTCTGTTTTTATTGCATTGAGTGGGCGACCTCTCTCTCTCTCTCCCTGTGTGTGTGTTTTGCTTTACGGGAGCAATAAGAGTGTGTGCGCTGGTCGTCCCACGCTTCGGCTTGTTACCTTCATTGTTTTTTTTTTTTTTTATTGTTTTACTTGTGTTGTGGTTGAGTGCACCCTTTCCGCACTTTCTCGATTGGCAGTTTGATTTGACCTGGGAGACTTGATTTTTTGCTTTTGTTTTTCTATTTCTTTTTTTTTTTCTTGCTGAGAGAGTGTCAGCGTCTTTTATTCCTGTCAAGCCAATTAGCTTTTCTTTGCATACGCCGTGCGTCAGTTGATCAATGTCACTCCACGGCCAGCAGCGCTGCTTCTTCTGTTTGTGACGATATCTGCGTTGTGATGTGTCAGCGGTTGCTTTTTTGTCTCCCTGAAGTATTCCTGCTTCTTTGACGATGTGGTCTCCTCCGACGGCGGGGTCGATCCCGGTTACGGTGAGGAAAATGCATCTCAGGGCGCTGGATTCGTTTCAGGCGTGCAGCGGCGTCTGGAAGGACCCATGGGTGCCCGTCCGCATCAAGGCGTCAACAACAGACCCGTGTGACAGCAGGGGGGCACTGCGGATCCTCCTGGTCTCACGCAATGAATTCATTGAATGAAAATCGCTACTGTAAGGATGGTGTTCTATCCTCTGCGCACGGTAATATCCTTGACGAGGAGGCTGTCCCTGCTGCTGTGTAACTGCATGCGGATCGTCTGCTCGTCCGGCCACTGGAGGGTCCGTTGATTGTGCCTCCACTTGCCACGGGCAGCGTTTGCAGTCGGTTCACGGTGACTGCTGGGCATTGTTGCTCTGGTGTTGCCGATTCTGGCGGTGTACGTGGCTGCTGCGCTGGGTGGTGTGTGGGCACTGCCGTGCGCCACGCTGGAGGATGGCCGTCCAGTCACTGGCGCCATGTACTTTTCCCGGCGTTTTATTTTGCGGACGCATCGCCACCCGCATCGCCGCGCACCTGATGGCCCATGCTGTCGGTTCACCCACCCGCGCATGGCAAGCCGGAGCATGGTGAGGAATGCTATTGGTGTGGGTGGCAGGGCGCTGTCGGTGGTGGACTCGACGAATGCCGCGATGTCTGCAAGGGAGCACCAAGACTGCGACGACATTGATGGCGTGGAGCTGCAGGATAACGATGTTGACGGGAGGACGCTGGAGTCGCACTGGGAGATGGCGGAGCCGACGCGTTGCTGCAGCAAGTCGGGATGTAGGCTGCTGCTGCTGCAGAGGAAGCGCTCCGCACCGAACATGAGTGAATATTGCCACATTTTTCTGCGACGTGGGTGTCCCTGTCAAACGCTGCGCGTCGGACCGGTATTCCCGCGGTTGGTATTTGGGAGTATCCATGAAATGTCAGCCAAGCACTCGATGGGCCGTTGCCCCATCATTGATCCCGCACTGGATGTGAGGGATATTGACGCTGTTATTTGGAGAGGAGAATATTTGTCTGCGGTGCCTGGGGATGAGCCCTCTTCGTGGTGTCTGGACACGTTTTCCACCAACACGACGGATGCGAGGGACACGGAGGAGACGCATCTCAGTGCTGCAGCGCATGCGGCATTGAGGTGCCTCAGCATGTAATTGCATCTGGAAGTGGCTGAAAAGGGTAACGTCCGTTGTGTCCCGTGCACGGACGGGGCGACGATTGCGTGGGTCACTCCACCCTACGATGGGGGAAACGTTATTTGCCGTGACCACGCGGAGTTGTGCACGATATCCGTCCACCAGCGGTAGCCTACTTCCAGTGGTTCCGTGGGACGGCGAGGAGAGAGCATGTGGAGCAGGACGGTTTCACCGACACCTACTGAACAAGGATTGCCAGGGGGCTTCCGTCCCCGTTGCGGGGAGCATTGAGACCGACCGCGGCACCCCACCGAAGGATGTCGACTTAGCTGCTCCTCAGAAACATCCGTTGGCAGAGGAGAAGGAAGTCGCCCCAGGTGCCACGACGGCAACGGAGTGCTCTTGCCCAGCGACACCGCGGGTGCGCCGCAGGAGGCGGAGAAGAAGAGCGATCTTCCGGACAACGAAGATGTGGCCGCCGATGGTGTGACGTCTTTTGTGGGACAATCCAACAGGAGATGAGGCCGTGAGCAACAAGGCCGGTGGCGGCGCCGCAGCCACGGGACTCAGGGTTCCTGATGCCGCTGATGACGCGCAGGGCGCCGTGGACCCTCCGCCGAGGGAGGATGATGCGGCGGTGGGGCGCGGGGATTGGGAGGAAGACATGAAGTACGCCTCGCCTTCGATCCACGGCAATAACACTGCTGCTGCTTTTCCCTTTCCACTGCTTCTTCTTCTTGCCGCTGCCGCCGCCGTGCCAACACTCTATTGAGTGGCTGCATGGATGCCTCTGCACGACGAGGCGAATGCGGTTGAGTCCTGCGTGGTCCGCACTCAGCAGTGGTTGCAAGGGAGAAAGGCCCATATCAATTGGCATTTTCCTCTCAGCACATACATTTATGTGCTCTGCTTGCCTGTATGATTTTTACCGGTGAACAGTTGTATACACTCTTTCTCTTTTGTGTTGGTTGCTAATGTGGTGACACCACGCGTGTTTTTAATGGGTTTTGGGATAACAATTTGTTCGACTTTTTCTGGAGAATACTTTGGGTGCGTGTGCGTGTGCGAGGGATCTGTGTGGTTTTGATTTTTTATTTTTATTTATTTGCTTTGGCATTGTGTAATGATGCTTCGCTTCTCCCGTTATGTGCGTTTTGGAGTGTGCGGTAAATGAATTGTGTGGAATAGCAAAACATTGCTGCATGGCGTCTTGCTGTCCTGTGGTGTGCTTGCTGTTGCGGTGGCATAGTGTGGTGCTCGTTGTATTACTCCTGTTGCGTTCGTTTCTGAAGTGTTGCTAGGGCACCGGGAGTGGATGCCTGTGGACGCACACCGTGCATTATGCGTGGCATTGGTGGGAGGGGAGACTGACATAGTTGGCGGGATTTGGTAAGGCGCATTTTTGTCCACGGACCCTGCAGCCGCACCAGCCTGAGTGGCGCTTTGCATATGGACGTGTGGATTGGTTTCATTTTGTGAGGCTTTTTTTACTGCTTATCACTTTCCGCTCGGATACCGTGCCCGTGGCAGCTGCATTGGCATCAAAAGAGCCGTGTGTGCGTGTGTGTGTGGAGATTCCTTGATTGAGTACCTGCCTTACTTCTCTGTTATGTCAATTGACTGTTCCGTGTGCCGGCCAAACGGTTGACGTGAAGTGCCGCCGACGGAGGGGTCCGCGTGACATGATGTTGCGTCGCGTGCTTCGGCGCGGGTGTGTGATTTCAGCAACAGTCGTTGGGCGGTTGCCTGTTGGGTCGTTGAGGGTGGCGTGGCGACGGGTGCGGATGGACCCGATTTTGTGCCGAGGCTGTTCGTGCGATGGTGCCGCGGGAAGGAGGAAGGCGGCGGAGCGATGGACTCCCGAGGAATTCGGGGGCGAGCAGCCATGAAGGTTGGCGACAGGGAACTCACTGCCCTGTGAGTTGCCGTGCGTGGTGTTTATTATTATTATTCTTATTGTTTGCGTGTTGGATGTGGCCGCTGTGGGGGAAGACATTTTTTTTTGCTTTTTTTTCACGCCGGTTTGGGATCCTTTTCTGCGCCGTCATCTCTGTGTTCCTGCCGCACCGTGGCGTCCTCTTTCCTTTCCATTAGGGGCAGCTGCGTGTGGGCTTTAAATGCCATGGAGTTGTGCGCCGTGCTGTCCGGTGTTTCATTGTAGCCTGTTATTCCTGCGTGCACGCGTCTCCCATGGTCATGACAACAGCCCTCATGTAATCACCACTCCTTCTCCATGCTGCTGATGCGTCTGTGTGTTCTTCTCATCCTCCTCTCTTTGTCCCTTTCTAGACTGTGTGTGCAGCCGTGATGATGATGATGACTGGCCGCCTGCTGTTGCTATTTGCCCTCTGCGTGCTGTGTTGCGGTGTCTGCGGTGGTGGATGTTCTGAAGCAGCTCCAGCTTCTCCGGTTACTGGTGTGTCTGGTGACGGCAATAATCCTGAAGGTAAAAACAACACCACCGTTGGTGGCGTTGGAGCAGTTGACCAAACCGGTCAACAGGCAGCGTCACAAGCAGCAGCATCATCATCGGTGCAAAACGCACCGGGAGCGGAAGCGGAATCGGCACAACAAACCGGAGCACAAGCATTAGGAACGGCCAATGCAACGACGGAAAACAACAATGACACAACGAAAACAGGGGAAAATGAGAAGACGAATCATGATACTGTTGAAGATGATGATGAAGAGGAAAAGAAAGAGGAAGAGGAGGAAGAAGAGGAGGATGAAGAGGAAGAGGAAGAGGATGATGGCAATGAAGAGGAGGATGGAGGAGAGGAGAAAAAGCAAGAAGAAAAAGATGATACCAGCACTACAAAGAGGATTTCAGAAGGCGGTCAGGAAGAGCCAATTTTATCTTCTGGTGTGGAGGAAGCATCGAATAAAACAAAACCCCAAAGCACTCAAACAACTGGCGACAAAGATCCAGCAGCTGATGGTGCAGGGACGCAAGAAGAAAAACAAAATGGAAATAAAGAAGCCAATCCGAAGGAAACACCAGTCGAATCCACCGTAATGAAAACCACAACGCCGACGACTGGCGACAGTGACGGCAGCACCACGGTCTCCCACACCACCTCCCCTCTTTTGCTTCTTCTTGTTGCGTGTGCGGCTGCTGCTGCGGTGGTGGCCGCGTGAGAGTGAGTGAGAGAGCCGT